AAAAATTGTTTTTTAAACCTTTCACTGTGTTCGATATTTAAATTTAAATTTAAACTTAACTTCAGGTTTTTTATGATTCGTCGAAATCGAAAAACGGACGGACGGACGGACACACGTACACTGAGCTTTATTTATGTGAATATTGTTGTTACTTTAGCTCATAAGATCTACGGTAAGAACGAATCTTCTATCTGTCAGATAACTTTTATTACATACTATTGTCATAATGGTTCTATTTTATTGTTAGTTATCGATGATAATAACTTATTGGGCTTTATAAGATCCACGTTAAGAAAGAATCTCCTATTCATCATTACCACTTTTATTACACAGTTTTTATAATTAGTAAAGAAGTTGTTCTCATCTAAGTGCAATTTCCTGAATTTGTTTATTGCTAGCAATTTCGTATGGCGGACGTATCAGCGAAAAGGGTGTCTTTTACGTAGTCATCGTAAACTGAGGAGGTTGAAGATTTTTAATTAAAAGAGAAAAAAACGCTTGAAGTCTGTTGAAGTTGACAGAAAATTAACTTGATAAAAGCATATATATCTCTCATCTGATAATCTATCTCCTATCCCTTTCGAGGTTAGGAATATAGGTTTATTTCAAACCCCAAAGAGAGGTACGCCGACCTTTTGATGTTGAAAGTTACTGGAAAGTTGGGACTTTTGACCATTTAAAAATGTTGCTTTATATGTAAGTGTGAAGTAGGACAGAAAGTACTCTCTTGCATGAAGAACTCTCCTAGAATGTATACCGGCAACAGAGCCAGACACGTAGTCTGCTTTTACCACAAAGACCGGTAGCCAAATATAAATGACAGTCATTCAGGACGGTGGTATTTGTCTCACTCCAGACATTATACAAATACATTATACATGGCGTCGCCCATAGGATATCGAACGAAATTTTAACTGCGAGAAATTCTAACAGTACATATTTACGAAAAAAAAAAAAAAACTCGCAAGGATTGTTAACAAAGCACAATATTGGTGTAGCCAAACGAGGAAACATGGCCACCAAACTGGTTATGGATCAACAATATATGCAACTTATGCAGCAAATAGTCGAATTGCAAAGAGAGAATATAGCCCTTCTAAAGGAAGGGCTTCGCGACAAGCCTGGTATATTCAACGTCAGGAAACCAGAAGAACCCACAATAGAGTTGGACGCAGCAGACAGCACTGGACACTGTTTAAAGAAGTTGTAGATCCAGTACAAAGAAATGTGCGGACTGACCAACCAAACAGAGATTCGCAAGGAGGTAAGGATGACGTGTTCTTATTCGACCTTGTGGCTGTGTGGAGCGAAATACTCAACCCTACTACTGAGGAACAATTTCCATGACAAATACGGCTCGTTGCAGTAAGGGGATTACCCATGGAGGTGCACAGATAGAACTTCCACACCATGAGACAAAAAGAGGGCGAGACGATTTCACATTTCTTAGCCTGACTACGAGACCAAGTAAGATTTTGTGAATTTAGGTTTACCTGCCCAAATGAAAGCGGTTGCGGTTAGCAAGTAAACCATTCCGAGGACATGGATGCTGGACAAATGGTAGCAGATCTTGCTAATATTGAACATCAAAGTAGAATATTGGCGCAGACCGCTACCCTCAATACTTTAGAGCAGATTGATCAGTCTGGAAAGCACAAAAAAGTTGAGCCCTCAATTTCATAACGATATATCCCCATCGCATCATTTAATGTGCAAAAGACGGACAGAGAGCAACGGTCCCAGAGAATCAATATCCCACATTTTGCCAAGTCTTGCAAGGAATGTGGAAAGAACTCGCATTCCAATGAGTCAATGGACAGAAAGGGATGTTCAGCGGCCAAATTAAGGTGCTTCAATTGCAGATTGCTGGGTCATGTGGAAAGGGTTTGCCAGAAACTCGAAAAAGTGTCTGCCAACAAATCAGCGAGAAGCGTAACAAAACACGATACATTTGTGTTTACCACCAGAGGACGCACGGATAATCCCAGAAAAATTGACCGGCCAATTCGGACAATCAAAACAGAGATGTAAAACCAACCCAACACAATCGAAGGTCGTTCTTAATCTCATCTGGAACAGAAACAGGTTTCGATGGGAACATCCGGAAACACCGCCATCTTTAACTGTGGAAGAGACCCCGATACCCGCGCTCAATTCGGGTATGCTCCAACGAGTCAGAATAGAATCCGCAGCCACCAAATTGTCACTATTGCGGACAGCGGGACACAGACTTTCTTAAGCGGACTCGAGATGCATAAGATTTTCAATCCCAGACAAATATCTCGTACCGACCAATCACAGGATACGTGACATAACAGATGACCAGTTAAACATTAAAGGTGTACTATTCGCGCACATAATGGTTGGCTCAAAGGAAACGCACCAATCGCACCAATGACAACACGTGCGGATTTTACTTATTTGAGTCAGTCTTGTAAGATCAAGAATTATTACCTTCCAAATTTCCGACTCGACGTCACGGCAAAATATGACAACAGGTGCCATTAGAAAGACACAGTGTAGATGCACTCAAAGAATGGCCATCCCATCAAAGCCGGGCGCTATCACATTTCCCCCAACGGAAAACAATAGGCTTCGGCTGGAGCTATGGATACTGGAGTATTTTGGGCCCAGCACATTCAACACGTGCCCTAACCAGCCACGACAGACGTGGAAAGGGAAGCCTCTAAACATCACCCTCATTACGGGAACAACACCGATAATAGTCCACACGCCGTTCCCAGATCCTAATCACTGGAGTCAGTGTTTCAAACAAGACATTGACTGGGATGTCGCACTGGGCATCATCGAACCCTACCAGTTTGTGCTCAAGAATGGTGTTTGCGCCAAAGAAGTGCGAACCAGCCAGACGTACGGTGGGCGTAGAAAAACTTAATGCCACCGCCATGAAGGATACTCGGCGTACTCCATCCCTTTTTAATCAAGTTTAAATGGTAACAGCACACACGAGGAAAACAGTGCTAGATGAGTGGAATGGGTACCATACCCTTCCCCTATCCCCAGCTGCGCGGGACGCTACAACGTTCATTATCGAGTTGGGCAGATACAGATACCTCCGTGTTCCACAGGGTTCCCACGCTTCGGGAGACGCGTCTACTCATCGGTTCGCCGATATTACTGCTAATATGGCCA